CCTTGGCCGCCCGTATGTTGCGGAGAGAAGCCGGCGGATGACGGGTTGGGCGTCCAGGCAGGCCGAGAGGGGGGAGACCGTGAGCCTCCATTGTGGCGGTTGGATGCAGCGTTGGCCGTGACTGGTGCGAATGAGGGGGTGGAATGACCCTGTTTGAGGGACAGTTCCCGATTAATCAGTTTCTCATGAAGCTCATCAAAAGAGATTGGTGTGTCGCGGCCCTCAATACCGTCAGCAAGAGCCTTGTAGTCGTCATCAAGACCATCGAGAATCTTCTCGATAAGATCTTCATGATCCATCGGTTTGTCAAGCGCGGCAAGTTCATCGGAGTGGCACTTGATAAATTGCATATATTCTAAGATCAACTGAGAACCTTTGACCGGGCGCTTGATTTGATCCTTGATTTGCTTGATGTGTCCACGAGACGGGCGAGCATAAGTGTTGGCAAGGGTGAGCCATGCTTCGCGGGAGGTGGTAACATGTTGGATGAGCGGAATCAAGGGAGATGAGATGGATCCGACAAAGGCGCCAAACAACAGTTTGTCTTGCCGAACCATGGGAGATAATCCGGGTTGGTTGTGTCTATATTGTTGGTGCGAACGGTAGACGGAGGACATGGATAAGAACCATCGATGTATTTCTAGAGGTCATAGCCGACGAGATTGGCTTCCATCTGAAGCTTCCATGACAAATAATTGGTGGAGGTGAGTTTGACAATATTGTGATTAGCCATATTGATGAGTTGAAGAGGTTGGGTTGGATTGGTGGAATTGGGAAGGGCGACAATGTGGGATTCGGTGGGTAGGGGAAGCTGAGGTTGGTTGGCTGCCATGGTGGAGCGGAAAAAAAAAATTCAGAAGGAGGACCAGCGGCTCGATACCATATGAGACTTTAGAATTGAGGAAATAATGCACCACTTTTCCATTGATAGAAGAAGAGTATAAATAGGTTACAAACAGAATCAGGAAACAATATTTTGAAATTGGAAACTAACTATAATCTAGGAAATTTAAAATTCTTAGCTATACAAATCTAATTCCAGCTGTACAATAATCTAAATAAAGAAACTATCGTTTAATATCTCTAATAGAAAGTGCATGAGTAAGGATTTTTATAACCTTTTACTCTTAATTCATAACCTTTTGAGTTAAATAATTATACTAACAAAAGGGTATTTATCAAGAATAAGGGGTAAAGGTCTAGATTCACATATTCTTAAAAGTAAATTCTCCATTTTTTCATTTATTTTTTATACAATTATTTTAATTTCGACATTAGAAGTAGGAGCGCAGTTTTTCGCCGCTACTGTTCAATTTTTTTTTTAAATAAAATTATTTTTTATTGTTTTTATTTGTTAATTTGTAAATGGTTGATACCAATAATCATATAATTAATAGTAGTTGTGCTTCATAACAACAAGCATTTAAGGGCATTACATGTTGCCAATTCCAATCCTAATTGTTCTGAAACTTTTTGTTTGGCAGAATTATCCGAGCATTTTTGGTAGAAGAACAGAAGATTGTTAAGAAGGTTTTGAAGATTCAGAAAGCAAAAGAAAAGCAGGCTGCAAAGAGCTAAGATGTCCTTGAGTGTTAATTTAATTTAAATATTTGCTTAAATATATATAACATTACAACTAATTGACATTAAATAGCAAACTATTACAATAAAAAGAAAATATCTAAATTGTCATCGTAAGTAATTAGTATAAGTCTTCATCAATAATATTCAGTTTTCTGTCGTCTTGCTGTCAGTCTCATATTTTCTCTCTAGAACTTGTGAGAGTATTTTGCAAGCTAGGCTAGAGTTTTCTATGTGAGGCTAGAGATGAACTTCTGTTTAGTGACCCAATTCGGGATTTTGATTCCATGTGTTGTAAAGTTCAATATTTGAATGAATTAAATCTCATATATCTTTCTATTACTTTTTAAAATATTGTGTGCCAATTTTTATATAAGTTCAGTCACGCTTTTCTTATGTAATTCTATCATGCATTGTTTTGTTATTCAAATTATTTTGTAAATTGTCTTTTACTGCAATATTGTCAAATTGATATATTGTCAATTTTGGATAATTTGTAATAATAATATTTTCGGAGTCAACATGGAGATTTAATTTATTCGATCCTTTTATTTTGTGAATTAAAACTTGAATTGATAAATGAAACATTAGAGATTCTCAACCCTTACCGTTTTTACTACTGAATTTCTTCCACACAAATCTTCTTTCTTTTTTATTTGCAACAAAATCTCAAAAACTCTTCTTTTTCTTTAATTCCCTTATTATTTATTTTTCTCTAACGCTCTTATTTTGCTAATCTTTCTTGTTATCTTGTTATTTCTCTGTGGATATGACCGCCCTTCTGTGCTACAATTGACCGCTTGTGAACATCACCTTTGGGCGTTAATCACCGGCCACACCACATGCAGACCTCCCTGGAGTTGGCGCAAATTTACAACAGGAGAGAGAGAGAAAACTCCTCCTTTATCCAATTTCTAATTTTAGCTTAAATTCAAATCTAAATAAAGTCATACTTCACTTTCCTTTTGAATTTGATTGGAAAACTTATCAAACAAGTAAACCGGATATCTTAGAAAGCAACCAATTGAATCTCTGTGGGATTCTACTTGTGTCACACGCCCCCTGCATCGCCCTGTGCCTGGGCGTGTGACCTCCTGTGGTCCTACCATAACGTGTTCTAAAATTAATTTAATTAAATAATCACATTATTTATTTTGAGTGTTATTAAATCCCAATAATTTATCTTGTCTTGCAAATAATACAAGGATGACACGGGACTCATGGGCCTATAATTTTGAGCTCTAATAAAATTAATAATTAATTAAACTCTTTAATTAATTAATTCTATTAATTCTAAAAGTTACTCCACTAAAAACTTGGAATCGCACTCTCGAAATTATAGACATAATTTACTTTTAAGAACTTAAAGTGTCCATTCGATATAATCATTACATATAGATCAATCCTCCATAAATAATTCATAATTAGAGCTAGGTAAAATCCATTAACCTCTCTAATTACATCTTTATCCTTGAGTACCATTAATTCTCTAATGAATAGTATATTCATAAAACACATTCATGAATACGAGCTCGTTACTTATTCAAGTACCGAATCAACTCTCAAGAGAATTATTTATCTACTTCTTCAAAGAAGAATAAATGGATTACATCTCGTATATTAGCATTCCCAACTATCCAATTCATCATTTTTCCAAGATACAAGGGATAAGATTTACAATCTCGAAATCCATACTGAGTAAGTTAAAAAACACAAATCCATAAATGAGAGTGTACTAATAACTCAGGATTAAGATCATTCTATATACGACCATTGGTAAACTCAAATTTGATTTTCTATAGTTAACGGAAATTATCAGAAAATCAAATTGTGTCTGTGTCCCAGTTCTACATAATCTTATTATGCATAATACACTCATTTAATATCTCTTTATATTAATGATGTGGATAACACCATTCCATTCTTAATAGGAATGACGTGTATTAGTAATGTTTTAATTAAAAATTCCATAACTTTAATTAAATTCATTACAAACATTATTTTGATTATTATCCTTAAATATTGTCCTTTCGTATATAACACTTATATATAATATTTAAGGTCACATAAATAATCACGAAATTTTCAATGATATTCATAAAGCAATCAAAAATACATACACATAAATAACAAATAAACTATTTTATTAATTAAATAATAAATATTTTTATTACATCTTATGTTTGAAGAGACTATTCCTAACCATTATAAATTACTTGGTATACTCACATAATGTTGCTCTGCCAAAAAATCACTCCAACCAGTCTTTTCATCCCAATGCTTCATCTTATGAAACTCAATAAGGCTTATATTTGGATGTTCTACTCTATGCGCCGCATATGACTTAGTCCCCTGTCCCCCCACATATTTACCCAATTGCTCTCTATTCGAACTATTTTGTATGCTTTTTCTCTGTTGTTAGTAAAATGGGTAATAAGAACATGAAACTGTTATAATGCAAAAAAGATATAAAAGTAAGAAGTATATAATTACTTTAATACTCACAAACTGTGCCTCTGTGAACCAGAAGTCACAAAGCCAGTCCCAATCAGCCTTGTCTGGGACATCAGGGTGTGGATGTAGTTTCCCTAAAGCAGTGTTCCCAGGTCCCAGCGGCTTCCTTGCAATGTTATAAAAATGGGCGCGAAATGCACGACACCAATCATTCCACAGTTGTCCTAGATGCCTATTCATGCTTACCATTAGCGGCTCACTCCATGGAATATTAAATTTTTGTTGCAATTCAACATACACATTAGAAAGAGTCATACAATCAAAGTGTTTTAAAAATAAGAAATAAAATTTTAGTTCTTACATCCATTGCTTTCCAAATTGGTATCTTCTATTCTGAATCAATCTTATGATATGAAGCTTGGCAAACGTTGTTTTCCATGCATAGACAAATCACGTGACCATGTACTGTGATTTTCCCCTATTGGCTTCAACGTGGTCATGTCAAATTGGATTGGTAATTTTCCATCCTTAGTGCTTCTTCTCCTTCTCTCTCCATCCAATCCTAGATATGGTCCTCTACCACCCTTTTCCTTTCCTGATCCGCCATCATCATCATGAGGGGTTCTGGGGGAGCTCGACATAGTGTACCTGTATATTGGAAATAAAGCATTAGGAAATATAAAGAATAAGTTAATAATACAACAAGTTCAAGCTATCACAATATTAATGTACGATATATTTACAATTTTATTCATCCATTTCATTTGATGATGCCTCGGGGTCATCAGGCTCATCACTATCATAGTCTTCATCTTCTAACATCTCTTCATCATCGTACTCATCGACAGTATCATCAACTCCATCATCATAATTTATGTTAGCATTATCGTCATCGATCGGTGGTCTAACTTCTGTTTGTATAACAGTGGTACAAATTTCAGGATCCATATCGTCATGATGAATCAATAATGCTTCCATATCATGCTCATTTATAGTTATCGGCACGCTTGATGAATTATCTTCAATTGCATTATCATCATTTTCAACGTCATCTTCTTGTACAGGAATATCCCATAGATGTCTATGGCTAAATTTTTCCACATTTGCCAAGATCCACCTTTGAGTGGATCTCGCATAAAAAATACTTGTTGCGCTTGAAAGGCAAGTATGAAGGGTTCATCTTTATACCATTGTTTGTCCCCACACAGAGTTATGCAGTACTTCTCATACACGACATTTTTGGATCGTATTGATGTGTTAAGCCATGTACACTTAAGCATTGACTTAGTTGCTTTTGCAGTAGATTCTAATCCCGATGTTGATCCGACACAACTTACCGGCGATAGTCGCAGCACCAAGAGCTTTCAAGGGAGGCAGACATGTATAGATAGTAGAGTGGCATACCTTCTGGATTGAGGGTCCCACCCGGTAAACACCGTACAGGCAAAATACCTGCGGGGGGAGGAGGCCCTGAACAACAGGACACGATAGTCATCACTGACATAAGTAAATTCACAAATTTGCTAAACTACACCCAAGAAATCTGATATGGAGCCCTCATCAGATGCAAGCACAGAAACGCCACAACTTTGCGTCGTTTGTCTAGAGTCACGCTCCTCGATCAAGAACTTAACTCCATTAATCATGCATCCATTATAAGAAGTAACATGAACATCGGGACCACAAGACAAGTAAAATAGCTCATGATCAGTTTGCTCAGGCGAGTTAGATATCTACATTTAAGTGAGAAAATGTTGTATAGAAAAGGTTAAATTATCATAGAAAAGGTTAAATAGTCAAAAAAAAATTGAAAACTTACCCGATTACTAAACCATCTCGGCAATTCCTCTTTCTGCTTTTGGTGCAAGCTGCGGGGGACAGTTTTTCTCAACTCTTCCATATGTTCACTGTGCACATTAATTGTATAATGAATACGCAAAGTAGCGGGAAGTATAATAACTTTATTGAAAATGTGAAAGGATGGAGGAATGTACTCGAGATACTTTCTAACTTCTAGACAGTTGTTTAAAATGAACCAATGCGCCTTCTTTTTTACAAATTGTTATCAAGACGAATTATGTTTCTACTTCCCAATGGTTGACCATGATGTTTAAATATTGATAATTGTGCTTGTGATGACGAAGATGGCCGATCATAGTTTCTCTCTCGCTGATTAAATCGTGTCTCTATCCCAAAAAAATACAATGAACAAAATGTTAAAGCTTCCTTCACTATATATCCCTCTGCAATAGAACCTTTAGGGCGAGCTTTGTTTCTAACATACTTTTTTAGTGTTCCCACAAACCGTTCAAAGGAAAACATCCATCTGGCGTGCGCTGGACCACCAAGCCTAGCTTCCCTAGGCAAATGTACAGCCAAATGGACCATAATATCGAAGAAAGCTGGTGGGTATATCTTTTCTAATTTGCACAGAATTTTGACAATCTTCTTTTCCATATCTTCCAACTCTTCTAGCGCACAGTTTCTTGAAGAAGTTTGATAATTCAGTAAGCGTTTCTCGAACCTCCAGAGTCATATGAGGCCTGATGCCCACTGGTAACAACCGCTGCATAAGCACATGACAATCGTGAGACTTTAAACCAGATATTTTTCCATCAACTACATTGACATTCTTTGAAATATTTGATGCAAACCCATATGGAAATTTGACAGGCTTTAGAAATTCACAAAACTGCCTTCTCTCATCTTTAGTTAAACATACACGGCATGCGGCTTGACCCATTTATCCGTGACTCCTTTCTTATTTTCATATTTGCTAGGTCCAATCGTGCTATGTCAGTGTCCTTTGTTTTGCCTTCAATATTAAGTTCCAACAACACTATCACAAATGTTTTTCTCAGTATGCATAACATCAAGATTGTGCCTCAAGTCAAGTTTTGACCAATAAGGAAGTTCGAAAAAGATATTTCGGTTAGTCCAATTTAACTCAAACTCAGTGCGCGTACGCTTTTTACCATTCCAATTTAGATGCTTTCCAGGTAGATGAGGAATCTTTTCTAGTTGTCGCAAGATTTCATCACCATCTATGCACTTTGGAGCATTCCTCATCTCGATGCTCGGGACAACACACTTTACATTCCACTCGGATGGCTAATGTGTCTTTGTTACAAACTGGCCATGTATCTTTTTGTGCTCCAACCAGACAAGTTGCCATATGCAGGAAAGTCATTGATTGTCCACGGTAACGCAACATGCAATTGGAAGTACTCATTTTTGTCACTATCAAATGTTCAAAGAACTCCTTCGAACCACAACTCTTTAAGCTCATCTATCAACGGCCAAAGATACACATTTATGTATTTCCCAGGGGCTGTACATCCCAGAATTCATAAACTCATCATAAACACGATGACTCCACTACCACAGAACAATGTTTTGATAGCGTTTCTTTAAAAACGTCATGTTGCATATATTTCATAGCGTCTGAAAATAGTTATGTTTTATATATATATATATATATATTAATATATATTATTGGGAAGTCAGTTACGTTGTACAGAGAAGCCTTAAAGTTAGCCTTAAAACTAGGAAGTCAATTTGTAACTTATTTTTGAATTCATTAGCTGTGTACATTTATATATAGGTCTGTAATATATTTCTGAAGAATATGAAAGAAAATATATTCAGTAGCAGTGCTTTTATATCGACTCTTTCC